CAAGTCTCTTAAACTATTTTCATTGTTTTTTCTTTTTTTTTCTTTTTGTTTTTCCAACTGGGTGATTTCTGCTATTTTGTCTTCTAAATCACTGATCCGATCCTCTGCTTCATCTAATCTACTGGTGATTCCTTCGAGTGTGTTCTTCATTTCAGTTACTGTAGTCTTTAGTTCTACCTGGTTGTTTTTTATGAATTCTGTATCCTTCTTTATGTCCTCCTTAAGTTCCTTAAACATTCTTATCATCAGTGTTCTAACTCTTGTCTCTGAAAGGTTGGATACCTCTGTTTCGTTTAGTTGCATTTCTTGAGGTTTCTTCTGATCTTTTACTTGGACATGTTTCTTTGTTTCTTCATTCTAGCTGTCACTCTGATTGCTTTGATGTATTAGATCATCAGCAAGTGAGTCGTTTTGCCAACCCCACTGTTTCTCCAGCCGCCCCCAGCCTCAATGAGCCGAGCAAAGAGAGTCCTCACTATTTTCTACTTCCAGCTATCTTCTTCCTGGCAAAGTAACTCTGGGGTGGTGAGCACAGTGTGGGGCTGGAGGGTCTCGCCCCCAACCGGAGAAGCCTCCCCACCGCTGAGGTGTCCCTCACAGGGTTTGCCCTCTCTCATCTCCGCCCTTCATACTGGATTTGACGTGGCCTCCTCTTTAAGTCCTTCATTCAGAGGTTCTGCTCATCTAGGGTTCAGGGAACTTCCGAGGTTGAATATCTTATAAATTATTTGTAATTTTGGTGTGATCCTGGGAGGTAGTCGGCACAGCGTATGTCTATTCTGCCATCTTACTGGAAGTCTCCTGAAATTCTTGTAATGTACCCTCTCCATCAGTCCCCTGCAGTATTTTCTTGCCTCCCACTGTACAAACACAGAGAGTGCTGGAAAAAGATAAGCTTGTCTTAACAAGGTAAACAACTTCAAAAAACACTGTTTTCAGAAGGATACAACATTTAATTAATTAATGACCACGGCACATGTTGCTGATTTATTATATTGCCTTATTCTAAAAATAGATTTAAATATTAATTATAGAGATACTTGCCTTCTAAGTACTGGATTTGTAGAAACAAAGTACACTCTCAGAGGAACCTGAGTGTGAAAACAAGCCACAAGTGGCATCCACTGGCTACATCATACCTGTGCAGAAATCTCTTAGTGTCTCATTCTCTTTTCTCCTGTATTTCTTTTGGACCCTTGACCACTCTTTTGAAATATTTGACCAGAGCAATACCAGAGGAAAGAAGAGAAGTTGAATCACAGAGCTGTAATATTTTATTATTCTAGAGCTTTGCGAAAAAAGTATGTATTATTTGTAGATTTTCATTTTTCTGGCTCATTTGACTGAGTATATAGGCATAAATTTGTCTTGGGCACTTGTGGAGAGGTTGGCGCCTATAGGATGGAGTACTACTCAAAAGTCAGGATCTCTAATTTCCTGGTGTATAAAAGTTTTTGGAATGTTTTGGGAGCAGTGGTATAACGTCATTTGACATTGTTCTTATATTGAGAAAGGTCTAATAATGGTTTTGTATATTAGAGTGAATACTAATTATGAAGATATAATTTTCATGAGACTATTGAAGATGCTGGAAAAATACTTTAGCAACAGGAATTTTTAGATTACCGATATATGAATAACTTCCTAAATTACAATATAAGAAAGTGGTATCTAATTTGCCACAAGACAAACTGCTGATTATATATAATCGTGGGTATGAAATTTGCTGAGCATTATAGGCTATGAAATGAATAATAATGAATTCAGCCTTTAGATTATTTTTTTTCTTGTCTTACATGTATCAGGCTGTGTTCTAGATTCTCAGAAAGGAACCACTGTGGGAAGATCCTTTTCTCTCAGCTGGCGAAGCCACCCAGATGTGACCGAGCCAATGCGATTTAGGAGTGCCACCACATCTGGGGCACCAGGAATTGAGAAAGCAAGAAATATTGTTCGCCAAAAAGCAACCGGTAAATATTTATTTAAATATTTCCCAAAGGTCTTGTTGTTATTTAAAATGGATTTATAGGAATAAAACGTTGTAAGAGTTTTAAAATTCCACTCAGAACTTAAATACTAGACCTTTTATTAAATGAGATGTCTCAGTAGCCTTTTAACTTTCTGTTCTGGTCACTTTTCAAATCAGTTTTTGATATTTATTTCCAAATCCTTCATTATGAAAAAGAACTTGAGATGTTAATACTGACTGACATATTTGTGCAAAAGAGAAAATAGATGTTTTGTTTGAACATTTAGGAAAATAGATTCTTAGTAATCACACAATTAGTTGCTTATTGTTGTTGAACATGTTAATCTTGAGAGAGTGTGGCAACTTGTTCCAGCAATTTAAAGTAGAATAATGCAATTAGTTTTCAGGGCTAGATCAAGGCATTTCAATTTTTTGCCTCTTTGGAAAATTGAGCTTTTCTTGCCTATAGATATTGTCCTTACAGCCTGTTAGAATAAATAGGAACTTGACCAAGAACTCCCAGTTAATCAGACTGCTTTGCTATACTTGACTCTTAAAACAAAAAGAAAAATTTTCTTTTTTTTTTTAAAGATTTTATTGGGGAATTGGGGGAGGGGAATAGTGCTGGGGAAAATGACCAGCCAAGTTGTTGTTCTTCAATCTTTGTTGTGGAGGGGGCCACAACGTCAGCAGCTCATGGCCGCTAAGCTCAAGGTGCTGTGTTCAGTCTTAGTTGCGGGTGGGCATAGCCACCATCCCATGCAGGAGTTGAACCAGCAGCCTTGTTGTTAAGAGCACATGCTGTATCCACTGAGCCATTCTGCCATCTGTTGGCAGCTCAGCTACAGCTTAGCTCAGGCGCAGCGTCATTGGCCCATGTGGGAATCAAACCAGCAGCCCTGTTGCTCAGAGCTCTCGCACTCTTAAGCCAACTTCAAAAAGAGAACTTTTCAAAAAGTAAACGTATATCCAGTATTTAATGAGAAGAAATAAAGCATGCACCCGCCCCCCGCCTGCCCATCCCAGTGACTTTGAGGCTGTAACTTAAGCTTAAAACAAATTTATCTGAGTTTCCTGTAGTTTCTCACATCAATAATACCATGCAATTGTAATTGATATTTCAGCATGTTGACTGCAGAAAGTCACAGTATCCTCTGGTCATAAATCAAAGATTTATTTACACTCAACATGTTTTACAGCGGTTAGTAAAGGCTTAGAATTCTGTTGGAGTTTTATGAAAGTATATTATACCTTAACCATGACTGTCTCATGCTTTTTTCTGTAGCATCTGTTGGTAATTATCACCTTATTTGCATTCACCTCCCATTCTACTTCCTGCTTTCCTTCATCCTGTCCCTTGAGGAGAGACCTTATTCCTGATAACAGGCAACTTTTGGGAAGACTTATTCATGACTTTTTATCTCATCCCAACTCCTAAAACCTCCTTTCTCCATCTCTGGATCTTTAAAAGAAAGGGATCAGAATAGAAATTTATGATAAAGGTGGCATCATGCCTGAGCTGCTCAGACTTCCTGCTGTTCCTCATAGCCCTTGAATTACTATAATAAAAGTGATCATTCATAACATGTTTTAAAACTTTTTTCTCACATTTTAATGAGCAGCAAATTATTGGACATTGCATGTTTCATATACCACTACTTGGCCAAAACACAGCCATAGAAGAGATTGCATCTTAGTTTCTCAACACATATTTTAGACCAACAATATTGTAGAGACACCTGTACTTTTTAGGAATTCCTCAGCATATTTATGCCTGTGAGGTTCTGTTTATCAGTGTCCTCAGGTGTCTGAAAAGCCATGGTATTATAAAAATAAGAACTTTTACAAAATCATGTAAAGGTATTTGGAGTATGTCATTTAAAAACCATAAACCTGGCCTTTGTGGGATTAATTAAATTAAAAACACTTGAAACTATAACCTGTAAAATATAATGAAGATGAGAGCTACTGAGTTGGACAGATCTATTATCTTTATGTGTTTTATACACACATAGGTATAGATGCATATATATATATATTTCCTATTTTAATTTACATTTTTAAAAATTATAAAATATTATGACTCTTTTTTGTTGCCTGTGAAAGCAGTGGTCTTTGAAGATTTTATTATATCATGCTGTTTTATAAAATTAATCTACATAAACTAAATATTAGTGGTTTTACTCAGTTCTATAATTTTTACATTGTGTAATAATTCACTTTTTGTCTTTTAAAAAGGCCCAGAATATTTTCATAGTAGATTTTGATTTGTGTAGAAGTCACCTTTTAATGAGAGAACAGCAGCTCATGAAGTTAGTTTTTTCTACTTTTAGCATTAAGATGTTTACTATCGAAGACCCATTTGAAAGTGATTTTTTTCCCCAATCCCAATAAGAGAATAATTTAAGATTATTTTATTATGATTTGCCCCTCAGACTACACTTAGTTTGAGGAAATGTCAGTGATTGTGGCAAGAGGGAAATATAAAATAAGCAATTGCAGGGTAGGGAATGACAATTTAACAGAGAATGTACTAGTTTGTAACTTAAAAGGACTGGCAAGGAGAGTGTTAAAGAATTATAGAGTAAAACTTTGTTCCTGAATGTAAATGATGCTTAAATTTTAGATTTTAAAGTGAGTGATTAAAAATCAATTTCCACACAAAATAATTATTCTATATTTTATTATTTCTGAAATATCTAGTGATCAATTTTGGAAAAATGCACAATCATTTGATTTACAAAAGAAAAACTTTAAAAAATAACATTCAAATGCAACATCTCTGACATTGATAGATGAACAAATCTTTTAAGTCAGTCAGTTTAATGTTTACATGGAAGTCATTTTCACTTAAATATTATCTTACACGTTTGTGAATTGTAATGTAATTACATTGCAGATAGTCCTTTAGAGCTGGGAATTAGAGCTGGGAATACTGATGGTTGAAGGATGAAGGAAAAGACAGGAAAGTAAAAAGTTTGTTTCACTTTCTGCAAATGTGTCACTACTGTTTGTAGTTCTGTTTCATTAATGTTAAAATCACGTAAAGATAATAAAAACAGCAAGTAAACCTTTATATTTTTGTTTTAAAGATAAAACTGATTTTACTGATGGTGGTTTCGTATGTATGAGGCATATTCTCTTCCTGTGTCCATCCATTTTCTCAGATGGTCATTTTACCAGCAGTATATACAGAGGTTGCCAAAAATATATATACACATTTTAAGAAAGGAAAACTGTATTAAAATTGTAATACTCAATATATACCGATAACAAAAGATGAATACAAGTCACATTTGACTTCTGCAATTACAAGAGGTGCTCAAAGTGGTTACCATCAGCATCCAGACACTTCTGATTACGGCGAACTGCTGCTTGAGCAACGTTGACCAAAGTGTCCATTTGTATACATTTTTTTTGGCATCCCTGGTAGAAAACTTAAGAGTACCATAAAGTTCACAATAGGAAATTATGGATTTAATAAGCAAGAAATGTGATATAAAAGGATGGGTTCCATGGAGATTTTTACCTTTTTTTTCACTTATCAAATCTTTTAACGTTTAACCTGATTTTTATGTGTTCTTAAGCTTTTAGGATATTTAATTTACTAAATGATTTGCTTTTGAATACAGTCAGCTCTCAGTAAACTAATTTTTGAATTATGTATTATTTATAGAACAATTTTCATCTTAGGCTAGATTTTCCCTCCCTCACCATGGTCTTTTTGTTTGTATCCTTTAGAAAGGGAAAACTGATTATAATGTCTGCCCAAATAAGCAACCCTAGTGCTAATCTGATACATAGCAGAGGACAAAGAAAGACTAAACATGTAAAGCATTCTAAAATAAGATTGATTATTTGTGAATTGCCCATTCTCCCATGTCATTAGAATGACTGAAAGTTGGCTGTATTTAAAGACAATGATTAAATACTGTGCTTTGTAGTGACTGCCTTTAAAATTTAAAATGACCTTCTTTACATACTTAAAGAGAGCCCAGAAAAATAATAATGAAAAAGAAGTGAAAGATCCTGATGTTCTTCTGACATAATTATTACTTTATCTCTCCTGGAAGCTAAGAGAAGCCAGTCTATCAGCAACTGTGTGCACCTTTCTGAGGCTTTGCCCGCCACTAAAAGCATCCCGCTCCTCCTACACACCGTGAGCGCTCTCTTACCTGGTCTTTCTTACTCCTCTTGCTCTCACAGGCTGTCAGGTACTGTAATGCTGTCTCGTGTCTGTCAGCGTCCCTGGGCTTCTCCTGCTTGCCTCTGGGCCTTGCTTCCTTTGTAAATATCCCCATATCACGCATGCATGCCTGGGCATTGCATTTTGCGTTTATTTTCAACGAATATTAATAATTGTTTTTATGTAATTAGATATTTAGTGCCTATTAGATAGTAAAAAAAAGTTTTGTAACACCACTGGTCATTGCATCCTTAGTTAAGAAGGATAAGAGAATAATATAGTTTTTAATAGGGGAAAACAGTGATGCCTGGTGTACCGTCTATACAGTGCCTAGAGAACGGAAGAGGATTTTCATAAATTTTATCAGTTTATACAGATTCATAATGATTATTGAGATTTGAGAGAAAAAATGCTAATTTTCCAAACAAAGAAACATTGTTCCTGGTCTTCAGCCAATTAAAATTGTGTTTAGCTACATGAGGTTTACACACAGTACGTTTTCTGGTTTATTAAGATGTTACAGCACCAAAAGTGATTTTTGGCATAGATATCTAAAGAAAAGGATTTGCTTTGCTCTACAATGAATAATTAGGTCTAAGTCTACTTGTTTTTCAATGATTTTAAAATAAAATGAATCTTTTTACTAAAGACGGAAATATTTTCATGTTCTTTTTTATTTTCAGAAAGATGGCATTATAAATTAGTATTTATTTAATATTGGCAATAGCCTAATTGTGTCTTTCTGTAACACTAAATAGTGTCATACGGCTTTGTGTTATAGTGGCATACTGTGGTTATAGCAAAGCAAAATTAAAGCTTAATTCCCCTAGAGAGTATGTAAAATATCATATTATTTAATTTACAGAATATGAGGAAAGAAGAGTCAGGACAATGGTTCTTTGAAAATTCCTTTTCCGTAGTAAATACCAAAGGTGAAAAACTAAGAATGGTACATGGGAAGATGGGCACCAGTCAATTATATAAATTGCTGATGCCCATTAACTGCTTGATAATTTGGTTTTCAAAAAAATGCTACTGCCTAGAGATGATTCACACAGTACTTTAAGTAGTTTTGTTTTCTTTTTGGCTGATATACACTTACATCCAAAATGAGTTTGTTGCATGGTTTAGAGTTTTCTTTTTTCACAGTCCATTTTTTCCCCATATTGTTTCATTTAAGTTTTTTACTAGTTTGTCCAGAATATATTCTCAGAAGACATCTCTTCTTGCTAGTAGAAGAATCTCATTTTGGAAACTGTTTTCTTATTCAGTATTATATTTTACTTTACTCAAGATTCTTGATTCCCATATATACTTACCTAGTTCCCACAGAAGTTGAATATGATTTAGAGCAGTGGTTCTCAACTGGGGATGATTTTGCCCCTCAGGGAACATTTGGCAATGTCTAGAGACATTTTTGGTTGTCATGACTGGGGCAGTGGGTGGGGAGCCAGGGATGTTGCTAAACATCCTATAAAGCTCAGGACAGCCTCCATCACAAAGATTTATCTGACCCAAAATATCAGTAGTGCTGAAGTTGAGAGATCCTGATTTAGAGTGAAATGAAGCAGGCCATGCTGAGTCTGTGTTTTCCTCCCTTTGCCATCCTTATTCCTGCTTTGATAGCACAAAGGGTAAAGGGACTTAGCAGTATAGCGACTTTGAGAGAACAATCTGCTGTTTGTTCTTTCTGTTTCATCTGACAACTAGAGTAACGAGCTCTGCCTTAATCTGATACGATTTGTTCTTTACTATTGAAGTGATGTCATTGTCCTTTCTGACTGTTCTATCAAGAGACTGGGCCAAGAGTAATGCATATCAGTCCTCAGTCTTAGATCGTACATTCTCTACTGGTTCACACAATAGAGTGTTAAATTTGTGCTCCAATTTAAATCCTAGTGTGTTGGCATATCTTGCTAACCTGTTGCTAAATATAGATGTAGATAGGTATACATCCATCTATACATAATATTCAGGCACTCCTAATGCTGACTTTCTGGCCACAAGTTCTTTACTATAAAAGTCATTGCAGGGCCGGCCGAGTGGCTCAGTTGGTTAAGAGCTTGCTCAAGAGTTTGAGCTCTGAGCAACAGCGGATTGATTCCCGGCATGAGCTGAGCAGCCGCTGAGCTGCCAACCGGTGGCAGGATGGCTCAGCTAAAAAAAAAAAAAAAAGTCATTGCTAATTTTGTTTTCGTTTAAGTTAACATTTTTTGTTTTGGTTTCTTATCTATTCAACCCACCAATTTGTGTTAATAATACAGATAGAGAATTACTTACCTTCAGCCACTATTATATCTTAACTCTGATCCCTTTGAGACTCTTTATTTGACTTTTAGGAAAGTTACAACCACCTGTAGCCATTAATATGAATAGCTACATAAACACGTGGGAGGTAGACCTGGCACTTTCAGTGATTTCCCTTTTTCTCCTTTGTGGAAGCAGTGCTTTCCAGCTGTTATGCAATTTTAACTGCTTTTATGTTAGGACATTTATTAGTCTGTAGTGCTTACAGGCCATGCAGATGGTAGATTTTATTTTTTGTTTAGGAACATTGTAATAGTGGAAATTAGAGGATTGGTGATCTTCTCTCATTCTAAAAGAGACTTAATGGGACCTAATCGAAAGCCTCACTTAGCTGTTTCTGCATCTGGTTCTCTCGCTTCCAGGTAGTACTTTCTGAGCTTGTTGTCAGGGTCCAGACTTATTCCTTTGGACCTTGTGGGAAACCTCAAGATGCTAAGTTGATTACATCTCTTGTGATTTTATAGGGTCAAGTTGGTATCGTGCACAATGCTTTTAAAGTTAGGAACATACTACTAATTTTGCTTATCCAATCTTACATGAGTGGTAAATGGAACCCAGAATTTTGGTAATTGAAGAATGAATCTCAATCAATTTAATAAGGTTGATTAAGGAAATCTTAGATTAAATAAAGAGTGAGTGAAATTGTTTTAAAAACTAGTCAGATGGCTAGAATAAATAGAAGTTTCTGAAGAGATTACACACTTAATTTAGTCATGCTGATTCAGTGGGAAAAAGTGAAATTAGGTAATCCTTATTTGATCATTTTTCTAATGTTCTGAATGGAGCTTTAGAAAGCAATGATTTAGTAATGGTACTGTGTAACTTACACTATCAAGCTAGAAAGCGCATTTAAAATTTGGGTGATTTGATTAGCTATGCTTCAGAGAAAGTGAATGATGTGGTGAACCTGAGATAGAATTTAGCTCTCTGAAGTGATTCAAATAGAAATTGTGTGATATTCAAAACAGAGCATGCATTAGACCTCCGAGAATTTATAATGTAATTTTTATATAACTTAGATTGTTCTTTTTCTATTTTGAATATAAGATAATCCTGTGTCTTGATATGTGCATATCAGTATTAAAATGGTTTTAAGTTTGTTATGAATGAGTAACTCCAACTGACACTATAGAATGGGAGCAGCTTTAATGTTAGTTGCTTTTTCTTAACAAATAAAAAGCCAGCAGAGGGAGCCCAAGAACTGTTTTTGTGTTGTTTTTTGAGCTCAGGAACTGTTTTTTGGTTTTGTTTTGGTTTATTTTTTTTTTAAGGAATTGTATCAAGAAAATGTTTTGGTGTTCATTTATTCATTTATGCAAAACATATATTGAATATATACTTAGTACAAAGTATGAGAAAAGGCCAAGAAGTGTATGCTTTAAATCAGGGAATTGGGTTTAAATTGTGGGATAGAGAGAATTTAAAATTCTTTTTTTCACACTTTCCTAACAGTCAACTACAAGAATAGTTCAGGACAGTAGTCGCACAACAGCGCCCACAGCGTATTTGACACTGTGACTCTCCCATTCCTTCCCATCCACATCGTGGATGCTCCCACTCTCACCACTTTTGGTGGTTTCTGCAGGCTTGGACTTGCTCCATCTGAGAAGCCCCTTCCAACAGTGTTACAAAAACAAAGCCTTAAAGCTGCATTAGGCCAGCCTGTTGGGAAGGCAGACCAACTGGTGATGGCAGGCTCTTTGTGCGTCTGTTGTGTTGAGGACCAGTGGGGACACTCAGATTTGGAAGCCATGGTGCTGTGGCTGTGTTGCATCCCACCAGATGGTGATGTTTTTTTATATCTTTAAAAAGATGCTGCCAGTGTTGGCCCAGCTCCTGTTTCTTCTCATAGCCCAGTAACCAGCATCTTCTTGTTTTTGGCATCAGGTTTAAGTGAATAAAACCACTGTCCCACTATCCATAAAAACTGGCACTTGTCAATTATTTTTTAGAGAATTAGGAAGTTCTTGGGCTCCCTCTACTGGTATTAGATTAACAAGTAGGTTCGTTAACGAATATAAACTCTTCCCAAAAGGTTTCAGTGTCTTGTATAATTAGAATAAACAGTGAAAGAAAACAGCGGAAATGGGCTGACCCCGTGGTATTTGGCTTCTGTTGCCTAATGCTGAAGAGCCTAGAAGTAGACGCATGAAAAGGGCTTGGTCCATGCTTGGGGGGGTGTGGGCAGATCACACATGTGTACATAGGTCTTGTGTTTCTCTGTGGGAACATGCGCTAGTCTCAGCTATTCAAAAGAAGAGAAGAGAAGAGCAAAAATAGCCTGGAAAGATGAGGTTTAATGTCTGTCTGCTCTTGTACCTTGGCCTTCCTTTTGCTTACACCCTAAGTTCAGCTGCCCATCAGGATCTAAACTTAGACTGTGGCCTAGTACTCTGAATTCTAAGTGAAGGATCATACAAATTTCATAGTTTTCAGGTCTTATAACTTGTGTCAGTATACTTTAAATGGAATTATCATTTGGATAATATAAATAAAGTAGCAATCCTTTGTTGAAATCCTATCTCTCACATTTAGAATCTTCCTACATACAACTTCTTGGTTATGGCAAACCAGCACTTTGGTTTGTGGCTCAGATTAAAGGTTTATACAGAGGGTGGCAAATTGGCAGTGAGTCTTATTTCAGGTGAGGAATTGGGTGACACTGCCAGGTAAGATAATACAGGCTGAATTTTTATTAGTCTTTTCTTAGAAGCAGTGAAACTAGCTAATTAAACATTTTGGAAAATATGATGTTATAGTTATATGGATGTAAAGTTTCATGACTACATTAGTGAGTGTGGAGTCTGGTGAGGGATGCAGTGGTAGGGTCCACACACGGGACTACAAGTCCTGTAGGAGGAGTGTTCAGGTAGTATGGGAGGGAAGGAGGACAGAACAGGTGTGAGGTTAGCATAGAGGAGTGAGCAGTAGGAGGGAGACAGCAGCAGGTGCCAAGTAGACTAGGGTTGCTGGGGACTAAAGTAAGTGAGAGCTCCTTGTTGGGGGGGTCAACTCTGTGGGGCACGATCAAGGAGAGCCCTGTAATCACTGTGAGGAGCATGGGCTTGGGGCTTGACTACAATAATGGGCCTCGGTAGCGGGGGAGTGGTGTAGTCAGATCTTTGTTTTAGAGGGACCTCTCTGGGGCCACATAGAGGATAGATATGAGGGTGGCAAGAAAAGGAGGACAGTGACTAGTTAAGAGGTTATTGCAATAATCTAGGCAAAAGCTGATGCAACCCCAAAGCTGTGATTTTTAGAGAGAGAGCGTGGTGTGATCTTCCAGTGCCTTGGATTGTCTTTGGAGATTAAAATGAACCATGAAGTTTAGGAATGAGCTAGGAGGGAACTCATTCTCTAGGGAATATAGTTTATAATAATGCTAGCTGTGATTATCCAGTGCTCAGTACTCATTTGTGGTTTTCTATTTTATGTCACATATGTATTGATTCTCTAAAAAGACCAGTGGATCATTTTTGTACTTTAGTGATTAATTCAACATTGCATTTGGTGATATAAGCCATTAAACAATTATCGTATTTTATTTTGGACAGTTATGCATTTATTTGTTGAAAGAAATAATAGAGTTGAAATTCGTGTTTCCATTTGTCTTCCTTTAGAATGTGTGTGTGTGTATGCGTACGTGTGTACACACATGCTACTTTCTACTCCTCTGAAATGTAAAGGAGCCATTCAGTGTATCTCCTGGATCTCTCTTTTCTGGGCATGCCCATCACTGAAATTCCAAATGACTTTTACAGTTTTCAACTATTTCTGTGGCTTTTTCTCCCCTTTTTTTTCACCTTCACTTAGATTAAAATATAAAATGCTTTGTAGAGCTTGAAAATGTATTCTTGGAGTGGAATGTTAATGTTAACAAGTGTAGGAAATTTTATAATGTAGGTGATTACTTTACTGCACAATTTTTGTGAACAAACAATGCATCTACTGTGTTTCCCCGAAAATAAGACCTAGCCGGAGAATAAGCCATAGCATGATTCCTCCAGGATATGCAGGGCATGCACCCATCACATGAGGGTTTTATGACCTGTTTCAGGGAGAAAGGTGCCTTTTCCACACACTCCTTCAGCTTAAAATATTCAGTATGCCAAGGTGCCATATTTTGGCACCTAAAATCATGTGAGGGCTTATTTTCCAGCTAGGTCTTATTTTTGGGGAAGCAGGGTAAAACTACATTTTTAGAATTAGTTGTCTTAAGCAGAGAAATTTTTTTTTAAATCTTGAAATACATCCCTGCATGTTTTGCGTTCATGCCCACAGAAGTGGAAGAATGTCAGCTCTCAGAAAATGTACCTGCCGTTGAATCTGGCCACCTGGTGACAGAGCAGCAGCAGACACTCTTGCGGAGCAGCAGCACACCTGATGTCACGGAGCCGCTGTGCTCAGAGTCTTCTCAGGGTACGGAGGCGCTTCAGTTACTAATGCAGAACTATAGACTCTGCCTGGGAAGAAGCTGCACGTCATATTGCTTTCCACCTTTGTCCTAAGTCTGTCTCAGGGGAATTTACTTTTTAAGTTTGATTGCAAGGATGTGATTTTTTGCAGTAAAATATTTTCACCATTTATTTTAATACATTTATCTAAATTATATATCCACATATACACAGTTTTTTTCAGTGTGGCATGTTTGAGAAAGAAGTCCAGAGTAGATGGGTAGGCTGGAAGCAGAGTGTGTTATACCACAAGGTCAGGGAGAGCAGCAAGGTAGGGAAAAGGCAGGGCGGGATTCAGCAGACATGGAAACGGGCTATAAAGCAAGCCACAAATGTTGACAGTGAGAATGGGAAGCTGCCTAGACTTGTGAGACATTTTATTCGCAGCTTGTAGACTCTGCTGAGGTTGAAAATAATAACTTGTAATAGCATTAATCCAAACGTTTCTCCAACAACTTTAAAAAATAACAGGGTGTGGAAAGCAAAGAGGCAGATGGTTAGACCTATAAACAGTAAATAATGTGTTTTACACCGAAAGCACATGTTTAAATTGTGACTGGTGTCAGTGAACATACTTATTCAATTTAGTTTCATGAGTTAATTAAGAAATAAACCAACCTTAGTTATCTCACAGTTCTTAATGTCAGGGTCATACTAACCTCATCAAATGAGTAAGGAAGTATTGCCTCTTGGAAATCTTCTTGAAATAAGAAAATACAATGAAAAGTAACTAAAGAAATGTATTATATGAAGATTTTCTATTCTCTGAAAGGTTCTGTGTGAGATTGTTGTAATTTTTTTCCCCTTATGTATTTGGTAGAATCCACCATCTGCCTAGAGTTTAAAAATTTTTAAATCATTATAAGACTATTCAGATTTTCCTTTCCTATTTTGATTTTGATAAGTTTATTTTTCTAGGAATTTGTTCATCTCATGTATTTCTTTTCAAATTTATTGGTCCCAGATTATCATAAAATCTTCTTATGATCTTTTTAATATTTGCAGGCTTTGTGATGATATTCCCTTTTTAATTATTGATTCTGGATATTTGTTGTTGCTGACACCGGTCTAGTCTTGAGCAATACCAAGCCACCTGACTGGCTTCTTCTTCCTGTCAGCTCACCTCGCTAACTCAGGAAGCTTTGCTCGGAGATCCTTTTCCCAGGCCCCCAGGCCAAGTCTTGTTGTCCTCCCCTTGCTAACAATGTGCTAAGTGGACCTATTGGCCACAGTGAGTAGCATTCAATCCTCTCTTTCTTAAAAGCTCTCTCTGGGCCAAAGAGAGCAGGTCTATCCTGTAGACTTGACCCATAGGCTACCAATTTGCCAGACCTATGACTTCTGTTTTCATGTATCTTAGAATGTCTACATTTAATAATTACCTACATATAAAACATTTTTCCAATTTTACTATATGAAATATTCCTTCTGTTGATTTTATTTTTATTTTTATTTTTTGCCAAATCTCTAGGTCAAGTGGTAGAAAATGCACAGAATTTGAGTTCTTCAGAGTATAAGCCTATTCAAGAGAATAAAGGACATGTGAAGAAAGAACATGAAGGAATAACAGTAAGATATTTTCAAACCAAATCAATTTGTCATTAAAATAAACATTTAAGTTATTGGCCCAATAAATAAATTTATTAGTGGCAGTAATACTTTAAAAAATATTTTCCATTTAGATGGGTCATAAGCCCAAACAATTCTTGAAATCTTTTAAAGTCTTGCTTGCTTTCTTGTAAAATTATAATCACGTTACAAAAATAGAAAAAAATAACATAAAATGGAATTTGCCACCTGGTCTATATGTGGCATTCTGTATTTTTATTATTTTTTTTAATTTTTAAATTTTTTATTTTTTAGCTGAGGCATCCTGCCACCTGTTGGCAGCTCAGCGGCAGCTCAGTTCGGGCTGGGAATCGAACCAGCAAACCTATTGCTCAGAGCTCGCACTCTTGAGTGAGCTCTTAACCAATTGAGCCACTGGGCTGGCCCCGGCATTCTGTATTTTTAATCAGGTATCCTTGCCTTTCAAACATACATTCAGATTCCTTTTCCTGACATCATTTAGATAGCAGCCTCCACCTGACATGAGTGAATTTTTGCAAAGATCTGTTATGGTGGTTTTTTTTTATATGTAAAATAGCACTTTTTAAACAAATATAAAGTATAAAGAAGAAAATTTTAAAGTAGCTCATAACTTGTTTATGCAGATAACTCCTATTTATTCATTTTTTTAAAAATGTCGTATATATTCATAGAAAATTCAAACTTCACAGAGAGTTACAACATAAGAAAAAGCGTCTCCCTTGCCTGGAAGATAACCAATGTAAAGTGTCTTCTCTCTTTATTTTTTAAAAGGCCCATATTTCGTCGTATATAATGTGCTCCCCGTATATAATGCGCACCCACATTTTTTACCCAAACTTTCAGGGGAAAAAAACCTTTCGTTTTAAGTTTTTAATTCAAATTTTTATTTGTTTACATTTAGGTACTTGTTTTTTGTCTTATAAAGGAATTTTAGCATTTATTTTTTAACATATTATGGTACAAGAAATTTTATGTAGCAAATAATTTCAAAGTACAAGAACAGATACAAGATACAAGAAGTTTTATGTACTGGTAACACATTACGATATTTACGCATCATAGAAGGCCAAGAACTCTTCATTGTTGCAAGTTCGTCTTAAGTTCAAAACAGATGATCATATTCCAGGGTATCATTTTGCATATGGATATCGTTGTTGATTTCTAGATTTACACTTTTAACTCATAAGCATAAATAGGAGAATTAAAAACATTTATGTAGATACGGAATTAGCACTACCCATATTTAATGCGCATCCTTATTTTTCCCTCACAAATTTAGGCAAAAAAGTGCACATTATACACTGCAAAATATGGTATATTATGTATGTATATTTCAATAATCACATAAAGACCCTCAAACCCACTATTCAGCTTAAAAACTAAAACATTTCCAGTGGCACTGCTCTGGGCACATAAATTCTTTCCTTGTCCCCTCAGAGAGCAGCAATTTTTTGGCTTTGGTGTTTATCATGCCCTTGTTTTGCTCTGTATATGTATGTCTAAATAATATATCCTTTTGTTTTCCTTATTTTTAAAACTTTATAAAAGTCATATTATTGCTTTAGTTACTGAGTTATGTATTTTTAAGATTCATCCACATTATGATATGTCGCTGTAGTTCATAAACTTTTCTCTGCTGTATGTTATTTCACTGTCTACAATTTATTTCCATTCTCTTGTTGATAGACATTTAGATTGCTTCATTGTTTTTAATCAAAGATGCAGCTATGTACTTTCTTGTATATGTTTCAAGATCTACATGTTTACGGTTTTCTCTAGGGTGGAGTAGAATTCATGAGTCCAAGTAGAACAATGTTCTCTACAAGAGAATATGTGTTTTCCAAAGTTGGTGCACCAGTTATATTTCTGCCAGCAATGTGTAGAGTTGCCATTCATTCACATTCTTGTCAACACTTGCTATTGTCAGATTTAAAATTTTTATGAGCCAAGTGGGTGAAAGTGGAATCTAATTTTTGTATTTTCCAGATTAATAATAAACTTTAAAGTCTTTCCATATGTTGACTGATCATGTGTGTTTCATCTATAAAATGCCTAGTGATGTCTTTATCATTTTCCTATTAATTTATCATTTTCTCTTTAATTTGTACTAATTCTTTATATAGTCTGAATACTGATCTTATTTTAATTGTTTCTGGCAAATATCTTCTTCCAGCACACGGCTTATATTTTCACTTTCTCTATGGTGGGTTTTTTTTTTTTTTTTTTGATGAGCAGAAGTTCTTAATTTTGCTATCCTTCTTTATCAACCATTTTATGGTTAGGTTTTATGAAAGCTTTAAAATACTAACTCCAAAGGAATAAAAATATTGTATTTTATAAGTGTTTGCATTTTACTTTACACATTTAAGTCTTTCCTCCATCTGGAGTTGATTCTTATGTATAGAGTGAGGCAGGGGTCCAATTTTCTTTTTTACCCACATGGGTAACTACTGTCCCAGGTCCCATTTATTGAATCTGTTTTTCCCTTCATTGATCTGAAATGCTACCTGTCTCTTGTATGTGCTATTTCCTTGTGTGAGTCTTTATTTCAATGCTTCTTATCTTGATTTATTGGTTACTTTGTTTCTCTGTACAATACTGTAAAGTCGTAATTACTGTAGTTCTCCACTTTTCTCCCTTCCCTCTCCTTCTAATGGAAGCTAGTTTTCTACTATCTTTTGTCTTTCATTGTTAATATTGGGAAGTCGTCCATCCATTCTATTTGTTGTTTCTTGTTGTTCTTTGTCCTAGTCCTTCATTTTCACTACAGTATGTTTAGGTACAGTTTCTTTTGGTTTATATGTTTGTCCTTTTTGATATATGCTATGTGCCAGCTATCTGTGGATGTTGCCTTCCATTGTGTTTGGAAAATTCTTGGTAATCATTTCTTCAAATATTTCCTCTTTTTTGTGCTCTGTGCTCTTTCCTTCTGGAATTCTGGGTAGAAATATATTTAGACTTTCTCAGTCTGTCTTGCATGTCTTTTAAGCCCCTTTCATATTTTCCATTCTCCTTGGCCCTCTTGGGTACATTCTAGGTAATTCATCAGATCCGTCTTTCATTTAGCTCAGTTCTCTTTTCACTCATATGTATGTAGTCTGCTGTTTAATACTTCCATTGAGTTTTTTAGTTCAGCATACACCCTTTGCTTCTGAAAGTTCAGCTTGATTCTTTTCAAATATATCTATAATTTCTAATCAACTCTTGTTGCTTGTTCATATTTGTGATTGTCATCTTTTATTTCTTTAAACTATTCACATTATAATTCTAAATTCCTTATGTGATTATCTGAAATCGTTGTTTCTGAGGATTTCAAGAAGTTATTTCATGTTTCTGAGACTCTTGTTCATGGGATTTATTATTTCCTTTGATGTTTGGTGATCTTTGATTGAGTTCCAAGATGGCTGATCTTCATCTATAGAAAACCTGGATGTCTGAAGTGATGGAGTTTCACCAGGGCATTTGCATTCGTTTCTTCCAGAAAGTGGGGTGTGCTACTTTAATCCTTTAGAGTCTTGCTTCTTTTGCCACTGGCAGTGGTAATATTAGATTTACCCTTGGGATAGCCCATTTCACTACCCAGATTTTTACTTGCTTTTGGGGTGTGTGTGAATCACTTGGAGATTTATTTTACTTCCTACAAGTCCCAGATTGCAACCCAAATTTTTATGTAGGCTGTGGTTCTATAGCTGCAAGACATTTCATTTCTTAGTCAGAAGCAGAAAAACCTGCCTTCTGCTTTTCAATTAAGGAAATATATGGGCACATTTCTATTATCACATTAGATATATATCATCCTTGTTTAAGGCTGTATAATAGTTTTTCATATACTGTTGGTCTTCTTAGTATTTTATTCATGGCCTACTTCTGTTTTTCAGCTTAATAATTATTCTGTCTTTTAATTATACTTTTTAGTCCCTACTTTTCATTTGTTTGCTTATTTAATATTCATCCTTTTAGTTGACTCATTGAACACAAGTTTTTTAATACACTCTACAATGAAGGACCTTAAGTTTACATCTTCACTCCTAGCTTTATCCTCTGTCTCACAGTCCTAGATTTTTGTTGCCTACTTATAGGACATTCTCTTTGGATTTTCAGCCCAAAGATGAAAATGAAAATATCAGAAACGTTCTCAAGTTTCTTTGTCTGTCATCCTTCCTTCCATCTTTCCTTTGTCACCATTGTTTTCTGGTCCCCTAGATTCATACCCTTTTGTGATTTAATTTTATTCCACTGTCATATACAGCTGATTATAAGCTTTTATCTGTGATTCTACAGAATTTTCTTACTTTTCTTCTTCTTTTCTACCATCAGAAGCCTTATATGCTCATTCCTGAATCACCATCACAGTTCCATAGCAATTTTCTTCTTAACTCTAAACTATCCCACAGATAACTACTAGAATTTTCTTTCTGGTATGTTTTTAATCACGATAAGCTATTGTCTAGCTCTAGAACATACAGTTGCTCATTTTGTCAATATTAGGTTGAAATTCTTAAACCTCATGTTGAAGGCCAACTGGCAGCTGCCTGTTTTAGAAGGTGTCTGCATTTTCTTCTTATCTTTTTCCTCTTCACCTGACTGCCCTGCATGGCCTGCTATAATCAGCTTCTTTTCCTGCACATAGAACTTGCTGATTACCACTCTGTGCTTCCTGCCTTGAATCCCCTCCTGCCTTCTCTCTACCACTGTCTGTTGCCTTCTTGAACAGCTGTCCCGTAACTGTGAGTCAATTAAGGTAACACTTTATTCTGCATATCTTTTAGAAAGAGTTCGTTTGCATATTTTGCTTATGTACCTTGTAATCTTTTGCGTGATTTGTCTCTCAAAGCAAGGCATAAATTTTAGAGGATGCAGTTGCCTCCCAATGTTTTTGTGCTCTGTGTTTAATACAAGGTCCAGTGTTGAGCAATGCTTAGGGAAGTCTGTTGTGTGTTTAAGAAGGAAAGCGCACTGAGTCACCTTTAGAGAAGTCTGGGTGGAGTTTATGCCTTCCTTTTAGTACACTCACCATTCAGGGGTAACTTAGGCCTTCTGCAGAATTGCATTTACTACACACACACACACACACACACACACACGAAGTCCTGATGATTAAGTTTGCGAACTCATCCTAGAAAAAGTCCCATGTACCTCATTGCTGAATATCACTGTAGTCACCTTCGAAGTACTCCCCTTGGGAAGCTATGCATCGATTACAGCACCTAGTCCACCCTTCAAAGCAATTTTGGAACTCTCTTTCTGGAATGGCCATCAGAGCTGTCATCGTATTACCCTTGATGTCCTAAATGTCATCAACATGTCTTCCTTTCAGTATTTTCTTTATCTTCGGTTAAAGAAAGAAGTCATTGGGGGCCAGATCAGGTGAGTAGGGAGGGTGTTCCAATACAGTTATTTGCTGACTGGCTAAAAACTCCCTTATAGACAGTGCCATTTGAGCTGGTGCGTTGTCATGATGCAAGAGCCATGAATTGTTGGCAAAAAGCTCAAGTCATCTAACTTTTTCACGCTGCCTTTTTTAGCACTTCCAAATAATAAACGTGGTTAACTGTTTGTCCAGTTGGTACAAATTCATAATGGATACTCCCTCTGATTTAAAAAAAAAGGGTTAGCAACAGCATTGCAACAAGTTCGCAAACTTAATTGTCGGACTTCGTATGTGTGCTTGTGCAGAGAAAAGAGAGAACTTTAAAATAAATTATTTTCATATAATTTGGCATTCTTTCTCCGTAGATCAGTTTAATTAGATGCAGTTGACATAGGAGTTGCCATAAATTTCAGATCTTGAGTAATTTATAATTCAGTTATAGTAATTTGTGAACACATACCCTTCAAATGGAAAACAGGATTTGTTTTTTTGTCGCTATTGTTTGTTTCTTTTCCTTTAGAAAATGTGGACTAGAAACTTAATAGTCTTATAAAAATTAAAACTTTCCTGTAACAAATGCATTATTTCTTTTTGTCTGAAGATCTTAGTTCGAAGAAGCAGCAGCTCTGCTGAATTGGATTTAAAAGATGATTTGCAGCCGACACAAGGAAAATATAGAGAAAGACAGAAGAGTAAGTTCCGGGAAATGTGGTCTGTGTTCATCCAAATTCAGAATTGATGTATTTTATTGTATTTTTACTTTCTAATTCAAGTTATATCTTATCATCTGAAGAAACATGGTTGTGAAATGGGACACTTATTCTTGGAATCTTAGGATTGATGGACGTTAGTTCACTGGTCAGTTACCTCTATCTTTGAGGCCTGCCTGTCTTTCTACCCCTGGGCCTTTTTTCCAGGTGAGAGGCACAGCCAAGGCTGATGGCTAGGTGAGCAGACAGGCCAAGAAGGAAAAGTGATTGCCCAGAAAGTTCCCACAGGCTAGGAGCAAAAAGCTTCAGAAGTACATTGAAGTCAATAGTATAAGTATTTAAAAAATAAAATTTTATTGGAATCCTGACACATATTATATACTGTAAAAAGTGATCCTAATACTCTGCTTCCCTAAAAGCAGATGCTGAGCCACGTCCTTCTCAGAGCAGCGAAGTAAACCATTCCAAGGCAGTTCTTGTTAGGGTATGGAGGAGCTCCTCTTAGGCTCCCCCTTCAAGACCCTTTTGGCTTAGAGTTCTATGGCAGTGAAGTTAGGAACCTAACAGATTGGTGACTGGGACAACTTTCCGTTCTTTGCAAGTGAAGAGAGGACAGCTGATTAGAAGCAGCAAGGCTGGGGACTGTCAGCAGCAGATACAAAAAGCAGCTGGAAGTAGGAGCAGACAGAAAGGGTAGACACATAAAATTGTTATGAAGTAGACAGGAGACTTGGAGGAATAGACTGTCTAGGTCTGTTTTGTGTCAGACAAAATAGCTCTATAAGGCTTAATAGCCCTTGAAAGTATCATTGTATTATGGCAAATTGCAACTTTTTAGTATATAAAGGGGAGAATTTCTATTGGAGAAAATGTTTTGCAGTGGGACACTTCACCCCCGGTGTCTGAGTAATTCAGCCTGGGTTGAGGTGTAGACATCAGGCTCAAGGTGTAAAGCGCTTAGGCGCTTGTAGCAGACAGAATGAACTTGCGTTTGTAGTGGAATCAATTCCCGTCCTTTTCTTCCACGCACCTGCATTTTAGTAGTTGAATAAGTTGCAGTAGAAAAACCTAAAGATTTGATTTAATCTTTTGGGTATATGGAATAACAGAGTTGAAGACCCCTTGAAAAGAAAGCCACTTGAGTGATAAGTTGTGGCGCTCATAATGACTATTAATGCCTTGCATGTAAGTAGAAGCTTTGTTTCATTGAGCAAGAGTCCCACACAGGCACCTTTTGAGCCCGTTAACCCCTGAATGATTCCTACTTGTCAGCTGTTTAGTTACTTGCCTATAGGTAATTGTGATTCCCATTATTAGTTATCTCAGACTTTGGTTCTTCCATTATGCCAGGTGAAAGTGTCAGCAGTGACACAATTCTGGGCTATAACAGTGAGGCAGAGCTGTCCATGAGCCCATGGCAGACCTGTGAGGAAGACACAGAACTGAACACTCCTACAGATGTTGTGGGTGACTCTGATGCCCGCCACTGGTTACAGCTGGGTCCCACCGATTCTTCAAACTTAACAGGTAACTACAGCTTTGAAAAAGAGGCACCAGTGCTAACAGTTGAGAGATCCCATACTTTCCGAGTTTTAAGAATTCTGGTGATCCGTTAGAACAATGATGATGGGGTGCCACCACCAACAAAATTGGTGGTGGCAGCCCCAACCACCCAATCAGTGGTCAATTCTGAGCTGTGTGTGGAGACGGTTCTAAAACAGTGGCCAGATACGGGAAGAAGCATGCCATACCTACAGCCACAGTCCGCCACAAGAGGAAGTGATGAGTCTCGCACCAAGCCTTTGCCATCCCTGACCAAATTTGCTTTACTCGGGAAACAAGAGTGATTTATCCACCTTACAAGGATCATAAATCCAGGATAAGTTTAACACTTTGAATAGCATATTTATTAAATATTTTTTTGAAATTTTACTATAAAATACTTGATGCATACAAGATAAGTTGTGACATATATGCAAGTTATGGGCTATAGTAATAAAGTGAGCATCAGTGAGCCTACTACACAACTTAAAAAATAGAATAGCACCCAGACGAGTGAGATTAACTGTAAGGCCTTCTCAAGTCCCTTCCCTTCTCCCATCACCTATGACTCTATCTCAAATTATTTTTATAATTCCCTTGATTTCTTTATAGTTTTACAATATATATCTCTGTCTTCAATCAAATATATCAAGTTTTTAAACTTTTTAAAAATGATATCATACTCTATTTTTTGCACCTTTTTCTCCCCCGAGTATTGTATTTCTAAGATTGATGCATGGACTACAGAGCCAAACTTTTTGGGTCTGCATCCGGGCTCTGCCAAGGAATTGCTGGGTGGTTTTGAGCAAGTTACGTAATCTCTCTGTCCTTCAACTTCTTTTCTGTAAAATAGGGATAATAATAGTTCCTACTGTAGGGTTGTTAGAGGAATAAATGAATAAACATATAAGTCTAGTGCACAGAATAGTGTGTGTGGAAGCAAGCGCTCTGCAGTTTAAGCTTTTCACGTGCCCACATAACATACATACGCATGCACGTGCATATTTTGTGACTCTGGGTATGCAAACCTTTGAAAATCTCAACTCCTTCACCTGAGTGACGGAGCTGATGAGAATGGGGACACCAAAGAGGAGCTGGGTATTTGTTTTGCTTTGTTTTGGTAAACGTCAGAGAGACTAGTGTTCTGAGAAACTCAGGGTGGGAAATGCTGGCCACAGCCAAGCCGTTCCTGGTCTGCCATACTCAACACTTACATACAGATATCTTTTATGAAACCAACAAACTGTAAAGCGCATATTGACTAAAAATTGTTACTAAAATGCTAAGAATGATTTAAAAATTATAAAGGCCGAAGTTTTACCTTAGTTTTTTCAACCAAGCAAATTTTGGTTTTTATTAATTATAATATAAAATTTAACCAAAGTCTGATATTTTGGAAATTCCTGATGGAGTAACATTAAAACTTCATAAAATTTACATAGAAAAATGGTGTCAGATCAAATCTTTTATCTATAAGATAGTTAAAAACAGGAAGTATGATCTTAATGTATTAGTGTATTTAATGTGGATATATTTTAATTAAGAATAGTATAATAAAGAAAAGCAGACCAGTTAGCTGTAAGTGAATACCATATTGCCTTATAATGCTGTAGTGCTGTCCTTTAAAGATGGTGGATATTTTTGGTCTGTGTATTCAAATCTGCCAATGGTCGATGCCTTGCAAAGGCAATGAGAAAATGGTTGGCAAAATCATGTGCTTTAGTTTTATAAATTATTGGGTAGCAATTTGTACTTCTTAAATTTTTGGTTCTTTTTAAAGTGATTTAAAATTCTTTATATCCACACACACACGAATAAATTGTATAATCATTTTGAATAATAATACTATAAATGTACATGGGATTTAACACTTTACATAAAATTTTGAGCTATTCCTTTTGATTCAGTATGATAAGCAGGCCAAGTCTTACAAATTCTATTTTAGAGATGGGAAAACAGACCCAGAGAAATCTTGTTGTCTAGCTAGAAGGTAAGTGCCAGAGTTGGAACTGGCTTTTAAAATGTTTTTTTCTCTAAATGCGGTGCTATGTCTATTCCTCTCCATTACATTGCTATTAAAATTGGAACTGCAAAACCCTTTAAACTATTTGAGAATCATTAATACATTAATGGAATAAATGGCTTCTTTGGGTCCAATATAGACTAACCAAGGGAAACTCATCATCATGGTAATACTGAATCTTCAATAAGTTGAATTTACTTAAATAAGAGCTAGTTTTAATTATTTTTATTGAAAAGAAAAAAATTGGGTGATTACAGCTTTTGTCTGCCCCTTGGAAAGATTAGTTTTGATCCCATTTCAGATTATACATGGGGCAGCTCAATTTAATAAACTTGTGTGAGGTAATTTTATATGATGCACTCTCTGTGTTGTGATTAACTCCTCCAAATACTTAGTTCTTCTTTGAAATCCTAATATAGAGAATCAGTACACTCAGTTCAATAGTTCATCTTGTCATCTGTGAAAAGGACAAACTGTAATATGATAAGGTTTAAGGATTATCACAGTTCTGAATTTAACTTTCTGTTCTTAAGAGAATGATTTCTTTATAAATGTACAAAATAAAGCTCACGTTAACCTGGCCTTTTAGGACATGCAAAGAGAGTAATCAAATAATTTGAGTGTACCTGTTTCTCATTGAATAATCCTACCAATTATCAAATGCTTGGAACAATAAACTCCTTCTAAAATCTTGAATTCCTTCATCATTGGGAAGCTAACAGTTCAGTTTCGTATTTGCTTTCTCATTTAAATAAAAAATAACAGCTAAATTTATTGTGCTTTGTTTCAAAATGTCCCCTGGATTTGTGTTAATCAGGTAAGAGATGCAGACATGGAAATGATTGTCATGAGGAAGTTTATACTTACAGGTCCCTGGCAGGCCACACGAGGAAGGGTTGGTGAGGAGACAGCGGGAAAGGGGGGAAAACATGGGCAGCGTCCTTTATTGTCATTTCTATGAGAAAGGCAAGGCAAGACAGGATAAGCAGGTTTAGGATTGGCTAGCTCGAACAGTTTCAGCAGATTCTGGGGCATAGATGCTGCCCCTGGTTACCCAGTACCTGGCCCTGGGGTGACTGTGGCAGCGGGGCATATTGGCTTGATGTGGAAGAGCTAGATAGAGGAGATAGTTGGGAGGTATGAGTTTTAGATTGGGTAGTTTTCATATGAAAGGCACACTTCCTGGTAAGTTGTTTATTATGTCTAGGAATTAGTTGCCCATTACCTTGGGAGGATCAGTCCCTTCCTGGTCTGGAGGCACCAGATGCCAGAGCATCAGGAATACAGAAAATAGGAAATATAGTTAATACATGCATAAATTTTGTTCTGTTGAGGTAATGACTTTAAGGAATATTTATGATTCTATAGCTAAGAATCAGTATTGCTGCTGACCTCATCTCTTATTTAGCAAATAAGCTTACAAACTAGAAATACTGATTTTGATGCTATAAGAAATAAAAGATGAATAAAGCATAGCCACAATTGACTTAAGAGCTTACCAAAAGAACAGAAGACATCCTGATAGCGACAAATAATGTGAGAAGTGCTATGAAATTTATTTAAAGAAGGTATAAATCACAGGCATAAACACATAGACTAATAGAATGGAATATAAAATACATAACTGAATCCACACAGTCATGGAATCATGATACTATGACAGGTAGCATTCTGGCTCTGGCAAGGAAAGGATTTACTGTTCAACAAATGTCTGTGGGACAAGTATTTCGCCATGTGGGAAAAAATGAAATAGAAACCCTGCCTCACACCATGCCCACAGTCAATTCCAGAAGGATAAAATACTTAAATATGAAAAAGAAATTTTAAAACTTTTGGAAGAAAATATCTTCTAAAAAATGTCTAAGACCTTAGAGTAGGTAAGTTTTTCTTAAATTAGATGTTTTTTTTAAAACTAATTATAAGAAAAGTATCAATCATTAATTCAACTTCAGCATAATTAAAACATTCTTTTCATTATTAGAAAAACAAAGAATTCTAAAGGGTGGTAGAACCTTGAAAGATAAAGGCCAGTTTTGGTACCTTTCCTTTCCAGGTTTCTGTCAGGTTCAATGATACGTTTTAAGAAAAGGTTTAGAAAGAGATAGTATCCAACATTTTGTTTTAGTGGACAGGGGGTCAGTAGTCATCCCCCACTGGAATATAAATTTGGGGGTGGGGGGTGTCATTGGTTGTGTTCACAGCTGATTCTTGTCTTCTAGAACAGTGCATGGCAGGAGAGGAACATTTAGTAAATACTTGAATCAATGAATGCATAAACTTTAAGTTTCAGGCTATTGTTTTATTTAGCTGAGGCAGCAATTAAATTTTAACCTTTTTTTAATAAAAATATGTAAGATTCCATTTAAAAATTTTTTTAATTTAGTATATTTATCACGCCCTGCCTCCAAATGTTGTTGCAGAAATCTTTTACCACTGTGCATGTGAACTACATTCACTGTTACCTTCCACCAAAGCCGTTTTTGCAAGAATGGTTTGTCAGTGTTGTCTATTAGACACATTTGGCATTTTCACCAGGCATTGATCTGCTCTGAAGACATGAAATATTATGAAGAAAAATAACAATGTTAACTACCATGAGATTGGTTGCTCATCTTCTGAAATCTTTGAATTGAGCAATATGTCCCTGGAAAGTAAATGAGGAAGGAGAATAGAGTCAGGCTATAGTGGTGGCCAACAGAACACCAGCCAACCTGCTATCGCTCCACTTTGGCTGTCTTCAAAGTCCAGGCCTGATTTTTTCCTGGTCCCAGAATTAAGGTGTTTCAATTGAGCCTTTGGGTTTGTGCCTTTGGATTTCAAATGAAAACAGAAATTCATTTCCAAAGTGCCAGTTATATTTTTTTCAACACTCTAACAAGCCTACATGAAATTGCAGTTATGTGAAATCATCATTTGGTTATAAATGCCTATTTTAACAATTACAAAGACTTATTTCATGGCT